CCCCCGCCGCTCCTCCCTGTCCCAGCCCCGGGACCCGCGGCGCTGCCGCCCGCGCAGGTCGCTGCGGGCTCCAAACCCACCCTCGGCAGCTCCTCCCTCGGCAGAGCTGTCTCTGCAGACCATCGCCTGTCTCCCACTGCCGTGTTGCATAATCTGCTGCCCAGGTTTAAAAAAAGATCTTGTATCAAATGTGTTTGGCTCTGGGCTGCCTTCAGACTTTGCACACAGCTCTGAGAGTACAAAATGAAGAAAACCCGTCTATGCCCTCGAGTTCACTGTTTCATTGAAGGGATAGGGCTCAATTCTCCTTCTGTCAAGTCTCTCCCCCCTTTCCTGTCCATCTCCCCAAGGATGCTGGTCTTTCCTGGAGCCAGGGGCTGAAACCTCCGCCTGGGCTTTCACTGCACACTTTGCATTCCTTCCTTCCAGATTTCAAATAAATAAATAAAATTTTAAAAAGTTGCATTTGAAGCCTGAAAAGGGGCCCAGCAGGGATTAATTAGCCAAAATTAGGCAGGACACGTGGCTTTTGCAGCTTTTTTGGTAGAAGGAAGTCACTGTTTCCTGCTGCCTCCTGGGGCAGAAGTTCCCCTCTGCTTAGGGGAGGGGCAGGGTGGGAGCTCCGTGTGGGACCTGCATCTCCCTCAGTCCCAGCAGGGAGGGCCGTGGGGCTGCTGGGCTCGGGGGCTGGTGTGTCCCTCTGACACGTGTGCTTTTGCTGCCCCTGGGCAGGTGAACACCGCCATGCACGAGGCCAAGCTGATGGAGGAGTGTGATGAGCTCATGGAGATCATCCGCCAGCGCAAGCAGGTCATCGCCGTCAAGATCAAGGAGACCAAGGTGAGGAGGGTTGGCTCGTGTGCCCGGGGTCTGAGGGTCCTCTCCTCTGGGGTGGCCACTGCAGGCTCTGTCCCTCCTGTCCTGGCACAGCACAACAGTTGGGCAACCGGTGGTACTGGGATGTCCCAGGCACACACTGAGGGGGCATGAGTGGTCTTGCTGGTGCTGGAAGAGCTTTGGGCACCATCAGTGCACACAGTGTCACCTCCCTGCTGCCCTGAGCCATGTGTGGGTCTGGGTGTCCCTGCTCCTGCTGTCCCCAGGGATCTTCTGCTGAGGAGAAGTGCTTGTCATGGCTGGAGGAGGGAGGGCATGCAGATGAGCATGGCACATAGGTGCAGTGCCTTGGATTGTTCCAGACAGGACTCTTCCCACACGGAGCTGCCAGCAGAGAGCTGTAGTTCCAGTGCCCTGCACTGCAGGGCAGAGGCTGCAGCACAGCTGGGGGAAGCTTCTTTCTCATCCTTTTCTTTGTGGGGGTGTTTGGACCTTTCTTCCAGCAGTTCCAGGTGTCCTGGCTTTTCCCAGTGGTTTCTATATGACGAGGAGAGGCTGGAGGGATCAGCTGCAGCTCTGAGTGGTGCCCACGGGAGTTTCAGTGCACGTGCACAAGCCCTTTCCCTTTCTGAGCCACGGTGCACGCTGGGGTCCAGCTCTATGTCCACCACCGATGGCTGAGCTGGGAGCAGCGTGGACCCAGGATTTGTGCAGGCAGAGGTTTGGGAGTGGGGTGTGCAGGGTGTGTATGTGTGCACAGCAGAGCCAACAGCAGCAGAAGCCTCAGGAAACATGTTTTTATCCCAGCCGCTTCAGGAACATATTTTATGTAACGGTGCCTTCTGCTGGTCCATCTGTCTGTCTGCCTCTCACTTCCCACCCCTCTCCCCCTGACGTCTTTTGACCGTGTTGTCCAGTTTCAGCCATACTTGGCAGGCAGCTGGAAAGCTCAAAGATGTTATTTTCCTACAAAGTGGCAGCTGGGCAGAGGAAAGAGGCCCCAGTGGGTGCCCAAAACCATCAGCAGAAGCGACACTCAGCTTCTTGTGCCCATGTGGCTGCAAACCCAGCAGTGGGAGATGGATGTGGGGACAGTGGCACTGGGAGCACTGGGGAGAAGACTGGGCTTGGTTACCAGAGTTATCTGGAAACTGGAATAAGCCTCTTTGTGGTGAAGCTGGGCTGGAGATGGAAACGTGGGGGTTGGCAGCACTGCAGTGCTCCCCAGCAGTCTCCCTGTGCTGGCTGTGGGCAGGCTGGGCAGGTTTCCTCCATTGCTTTCCACACCTCTGAGCAATGATTTCCAAGTGTGAGCGGGAAGCAGCCTTTCCAAGGAGCCCCAGCCACAAACGTGGGAGAGTTAAAAAAGCTCCAAACACAAAAGAGAGGAGGAAGCTCTGGAGACTGTGGCTGGTTTGAAGGGCTCTGGCTGTGGAGCAAGGGATCCTGCTTTCCTGCTGTGGGTCTGGGTGTCCCTGCTCCTGCTGTCCCCAGGGATCTTCTGCTGAGGAGAAGTGCTTGTCATGGCTGGAGGAGGGAGGGCATGCAGATGAGCATGGCACATAGGTGCAGTGCCTTGGATTGTTCCAGACAGGACTCTTCCCACACGGAGCTGCCAGCAGAGAGCTGTAGTTCCAGTGCCCTGCACTGCAGGGCAGAGGCTGCAGCACAGCTGGGGAAAGCTTCTTTCTCATCCTTTTCTTTGTGGGGGTGTTTGGACCTTTCTTCCAGCAGTTCCAGGTGTCCTGGCTTTTCCCAGTGGTTTCTATATGACGAGGAGAGGCTGGAGGGATCAGCTGCAGCTCTGAGTGGTGCCCACGGGAGTTTCAGTGCACGTGCACAAGCCCTTTCCCTTTCTGAGCCACGGTGCACGCTGGGGTCCAGCTCTATGTCCACCACCGATGGCTGAGCTGGGAGCAGCGTGGACCCAGGATTTGTGCAGGCAGAGGTTTGGGAGTGGGGTGTGCAGGGTGTGTGTGTGTGCACAGCAGAGCCAACAGCAGCAGAAGCCTCAGGAAACATGTTTTTATCCCAGCCGCTTCAGGAACATATTTTATGTAACGGTGCCTTCTGCTGGTCCATCTGTCTGTCTGCCTCTCACTTCCCACCCCTCTCCCCCTGACGTCTTTTGACCGTGTTGTCCAGTTTCAGCCATACTTGGCAGGCAGCTGGAAAGCTCAAAGATGTTATTTTCCTACAAAGTGGCAGCTGGGCAGAGGAAAGAGGCCCCAGTGGGTGCCCAAAACCATCAGCAGAAGCGACACTCAGCTTCTTGTGCCCATGTGGCTGCAAACCCAGCAGTGGGAGATGGATGTGGGGACAGTGGCACTGGGAGCACTGGGGAGAAGACTGGGCTTGGTTACCAGAGTTATCTGGAAACTGGAATAAGCCTCTTTGTGGTGAAGCTGGGCTGGAGATGGAAACGTGGGGGTTGGCAGCACTGCAGTGCTCCCCAGCAGTCTCCCTGTGCTGGCTGTGGGCAGGCTGGGCAGGTTTCCTCCATTGCTTTCCACACCTCTGAGCAATGATTTCCAAGTGTGAGCGGGAAGCAGCCTTTCCAAGGAGCCCCAGCCACAAACGTGGGAGAGTTAAAAAAGCTCCAAACACAAAAGAGAGGAGGAAGCTCTGGAGACTGTGGCTGGGTTGAAGGGCTCTGGCTGTGGGGCAAG